TAATAAGTGTGTAACAGTGACTTGCAAAGTATAGAATATTTCCAGCATCTACATTCCTAAGTTATTTTCTATACCCCATTCCCATTCTTTGGGCTCCATCTTCCTCCTTGTTTCAATATTCTGCTTGGGTTTTTAAGACTCATAAACTTCAGCTTTCCTCATCCTTTCCTATCTTAACTTGGCTTTAAATACTCTATTGGATAAATTTTACTTGTGGCTCTTAATAATATCTACCATGACATCCCAGCCAGAGAAGGAAAACAATTTGCTCTAAATATCTTGCAAGCAAATATTAATGCTGGGCACATGTAAGCATGTATGCTAAATCAAATATTTGCTTTTAAATTTATACCCACATCATTTTGGAAAATTTCTATAAACAAATGTGTCAGACATAGCTGGTCTTCCTACTAACGCAATGCCATTATGCATATATTCTCACAGAACAAAGAAAATCATTCACATTCTCAAGGATGGTTTCTGCAACTTGGGTGGGTACTGATTTCTCTCTGGACAATTGGAGTACAGAGCTCCCACTTATTCACCATGTTAATTGGTCTTTACAGTTTTATCATTTCGGATATGATTTGTCATTATTGTTCCAATTCAGTCTTGGTTTTACCTGGTCAAAAGTTTGTAATATACTTATTTGTTTTGAACATGAGTATGTGAAAAATAAGCTGGTATATTAAAATTTACTGCCTGCATAGAGAAAAAAAATTAACTGGTATTTAGGGAAACTAGGGTGCACTGGTTTGCAAAATTTATCAAAAGTGTATTTCCTTCACTGGAGTCTCATGTAAATAATACTTCTCAGTTTTTATAATTTTATCAGTTTATTCTTTGCACAATTTTAGAAATACAGCAAATGAACCTTCACAAAGATTCCATCTGAACACACTGCTATCCAACTTTTAAAGTTCCCCAGAAAGGTAAATTATTAAAGATATAAATAACCAATGAGAATTTACACAAAATAAAAATACATTTTCATCATCTTGATATACATAGAAATTAGTAGGGTTGTTGGTTAAGATAAATATTGGTACTTAAGTGTAGTTTTGTGAAAGAGTATGAAAATTGCCCAATGTGTGTTGCTTTGAGCAATCTTAAAGAGAAAGTTATATAATAACAACTTAAGTTGTTTCTGGAACTATTAGCTAGCAGAATAAAGCCAGATGATAGGCTGAATCAACTTTTTCCCCTGGGAAAACTGAAGTTAAATCCTACATTTGAAAACAAGAATATTAATAAAACAAAACAAAACGAAACAAAACAAAACAAAGAAATGAAACAACAAGAGTTTAACAAATTGAATGAAATTAACTAAAAGCAGAGTATTTGGCAATTTCTCCTGTGCTGGACTTTACTTCTTGTTGTCTTTTATAATTTAAAAAAATTGTAGATGATCCAGGTGATCCCTTCGTAGCCCTTTTTCACTGATAAGTGATTGAGAACAAATTCAGTTTATCATATCTAAACATGTCTGTTCCGGAGAATTTTTTTCAAACATAACACAATCTATGCAAGGAATGATTTACCCATGATTAAGTATATTTGTTAGTTAAATTAAACTTCAACCCCAAGTAGCAAAGATATAACAGCACTCTAAATTGCCAATGTGTCTTTCAAAACAAGGTTACTACAGTTTAAGGCATGATGTTTTTCAGAATTATTTCAGAAGGGTTTCTTTCTCTCTTTTTTTAACCTTTATGCCCATAACTCCTTAATGAAAGAGTTTCTCACTGCTTTCCTATGTGTTAATTAATAACACATACATGCAATACGGGTAAAAACAGGCACCAACACCTAGTTAAGATTTATCAACTAACAGGAATGATTAATCAGACATTTTTATCTCATTGAAGAACTAAGAATCAGAGCTTGTCAATCTTGATTCATATAAGCATGACCAGGGAATTTTTAAAAGAGGATTTGGCCCCACTTCTTACCACCTAAATTAGAATATCTGCAAGTAAGGGTCACACATTTGCATGTTTCAAAGGCTCTTGGTTGATTGTAAAGTACAGACAGGTTGGGAACCACTGAGTTAAGAACAAGAAATGGAAAATATGCTATTTCTAATTTTGATGTTTCTTTCTTCTAGTAAAAACAAATGAAAAACTAGTGAAATACTTTACTACAATGTACTGTAACAATATATTGCCTTTAAATATTTAAATTTAAAACATATTAGTTTTATAAAAGCCATACCACTTTACATATACTGATAGACATCAATGCATAGCAAACTTCTTTAAGGGTAGAGACTTTATCCTCTTCATTGTAACAAATAATACCTATTTTGTCTGTTTTTCTTAATTAAATAATAATCAATTATTCCCATCTGGTTCTACAGAGAACCACAGTAAACAATTTCAAAGATACAAAAAGAGAGTAATTTCTTCAAATTGCTTCTTTATTCAATACCACACACATTCATTTTTCCCTCTTTAATTTATAATTTCTTAATTCCAAAACCTTAAGTCTATCAGATTAAATGATTATGGTCTTTGTGTTCACTACAAATTTATTGTCATTAATAGTACCTTAGAATGCCATTTGTAGTGAATAATTCATATATTCATGTTATGCAGGATTGTCTACCAACATAAACAAAATGCAGATGTTCTCAATTCTAAATTAAGAATGTAAAAATAACCTGCCATCAGAAGAATCAATGGACTGGACATTGGAACAAATAAGAAAAGGTTGAAGACATGAAACTTTCAGCTTATTTATGAAAGACTGGTGGTAATCAAGAATATTCTGGAGTTCCTGAACTTTTCATGGGTGTAGGCTCTGTCTGATCCCTCCTTATAACTTTGACCAGGGCAAGCATAGCAGACACATAATACATAATTGCTAAAGTGGACCAAATAGTTAAAATAGAAAACATAATTAATATAGGACTAGACTGTGCATTTTCAGACATTTATAAATATATATTGTAAAAACTCCCAAATTTCATCATCAAATGTGTGTCATTGATTACTATTTGCTACATTACAAAAGAGTCCAGAATGTTCTTGGTTTATAACCAGTTCACTTTCTGAACTCAACGTGGTGTTTAAGTTTGTTTCCCTTTTCCATAAAATACAAATGCTGTGGGAAAATAATACATAATTCCAGGCATCCATGTTAAAAATGCCAATTTGTAAAAATATGAATTATACTTAATTGTTTAGCAAACTTTTAGACTCTCTGAATTACTATTTAAATTATATATTAATACAGGTTTAAAATAACACTAAGAAGATATTTTTGTCTTACATTCCTGCATCATTCCGACGTTTTCACATCTATAATGTAAATGTGATTGATTTATTAGTTTCGTAAACCCTATAATTATGCTAAAAATAATTTTAACTGAATTTATATTTAAAAAATTCAACATGTTTAACTCAGTTGACACTGACATAAATAATAAAAGGTAGAAAATAAAATCCTCAATATTATTTATAAGGTCAAGAACTTTTCAGATGTTCTTAATTCATAACATCTATAAGATTGAAAAACATGGGTAAAAAGTAAAAAAACAGATACTCTCTACTACTTTCTATATATCATGTAAACTGAGGGTTACATGGAACTGCTCTGATGTTGAACTGAGCTTTTCATTTTATCTAAAATCCTCTGAATGTTCTGGATTGTGTAAAACAGTACTGTGTTTCAGCTGACTTGAGAAGGCTGTGTGTCTCACTCTGGCATTTCAGATTGCTTTATTTTTACATTCCTTGGTTGCAGAAGGCATTTGCTAGCAGTTCAGATATTTTTGTGATCTTCAAAATCATAACCACAAAAATCTTTCCTTCAGTTATAAAGTATACCCAAGTGTAGCCCCTAAAATTGAGGAAGATAGGATTCTCATTTGAAGTAGTGACTGCAAGAAAACATCAAGTTGGCTAAGCTTCAAATTCATTTGGGATTTAAAAGTTTTCAATTATTCTAATTATACTTAAGATAATTTATTAATTTTGAAAGGAAGTATGAGCGAAGCCCTTAAAATAAAATGCAACCAACTAATTCTGAAACTTTCTGGAATTTCCAAGTCAGTAGGTTTAAATGAATTTGCATCTTCCAAAATCCTGATTACAGTAAAAAATGTATATACATTAAGAATTATTCCTTATACTGTAGTCACAGAAAATAGTTGCTTGTATGTCAGATTTCCACAGAAATATTGTTAGATATCTAAAAACAGCTTTTTAAAGCTAGTAGCATTTCAATGTTGACTTTAATTGGAAGGAAACTATGAGATCAATAACTCCTGCTAAGAAACCTGTATATAGGTGGGATTTCCCGTGATTCAGAGAGTGTGATGAACAATCTTACTCACAACATCCCTCCACCTCAACCATTCTAATTTAAAACAGAAGATAGTTTTAAAGAAAAAGGCATTGACATATTAGTCAATGCTGACCAAAAGTAATGCAAAATTAGACTTGTAATAAAAGTAGCAGTGTTTTCCTCTTTGAAAGCTTTGTAAATGACTGTATTAGAGAGATATTAGCTATTATAAAATTTCAGATTTGGCCATTTATTTTGATTTACAAAGCAAGGACTGTCTAGAAAATAGACCTTTAATTTAAAAAAAGCAAACTTTAATCCACTATTTTTTGTCATCACTAGTTTGACAATTGGCTTTCAGCAAAGCATGATAAAATGGGTCAAAAAGATAGTAAACGGCAATACTGTCAAGATTCGAATGTCAAAAACTTTAACTTTGGGACATTAAAGACATCTTCTGGTAATATGTGTTTTACAGTTGACTTGTACAATCACGAACTAGTGATATGTGCTTTGCAGTAACTAATTACTATATTATTTAAACCAATTTAAAATTGCTGTGTTTCTGGTAAATGTTATGAATCTTCACTTTTAACAATTATGTTTCTGAGAATTCCGGAATTTCCTGAACCACAATGTGTAGAAGGAGGTGCTCCTGATTGGTCTTTTTTTCTCAGCTTTGTGGTTGTTTATGAGGTTCTTTCCGAGCTATGCTATTTCTACTGGAGAGCCCAGAGTTCTTACTAAATGCAGCTGGACAAGAGGGGAGGCTCAAGGTACTGCAGCTGTGAAACCTCTGCCCCGGCATGCGTTTTGGTTTACACGCAGCCAGGTTAAGGAAACACATTGCAAGGATATGTGCATTCACAAGAGTGTCGGGTTGCAATTTATTTATTTCTGGGTCTCTAACGATCTTTGCAGTGAGCAATTCCGTTTCGATGAGAAAGTCCCTGGATTTTACTTCTCTGGTTCCGGATGGCATAGAGCAGGCCCCTAATTACCTCGGAAACCCACCAAGGGCCAGTAAAGTAATAAACTGTGATCGCATCGCGTACACGTCGAGTCCCAGGGAGAGAGCCCGGCTCCCAGGAAGCCCCGGGAAGCGTGCGCTTCCAGGAGGGTGTGCGGCGCGCGGGGGTCTGCACGCGCACACAGCTTGTTAACGGAAGGCGTGCCGGAGGCGTGGCGCGAGGTGTCCGGGCGAGGCGCTCCGCGAGGAAGGCGGCGGTGGGCGGGCCACGGGGGAGCGCGGCCCGGGGAAGGTTGCGCGGCGCCGCCAGCGGCTCCCGACTCCCGCTCTCCCGGCCGCCAAGAACGAGCCGCCGTGGGCGGGGCCTGCGGTGATTGGCGGGCGGGCGGGGAGGTCGGAAGTACTTTGTTTTTTATGCTAATGAGGGAGTGGGGCTTGTCCGTATTTACGTTGAGGCGGGAGCCGCCGCCCTTCATTCACCCACATGGTCCTTCGAGGTGCCGCCGCCGCCGCCAGACCTGCGCCTTCGCGCCACTTCCCGCCCTCGGGCGAGGCCGAGGGGGTGGGGATGACCCCCGCAGCGCCGCGGCGGCTCGCGCCCCTCCACCAAGCTCTCCTCGCGGGGCGGGCGGGCCGGCCGGCCGCACCCCCGGCCTGGGGCCTCCGGTCGTAGTAAAGCGCAGGCGGGCGGGGAGGCGGGAGCAGGAGCCCGCGGCGGGCCAGGCGAAGATGGTGGCGGCTACTTCTCCTGGTGAGTCTACCCGCCCCTCCGGCGACGGAGGGAAACCTGTTGTGTGCGGCCCGGGTCTGGCGGGCGGGGCGGAGCGGCCCCGGGCGGACTGGCCCGGGGCAGCGTGGCGGCGGCAGCGTGGCCGGGGCGGGTCTCGGGCCGTTGGCCGCTTCGGCGTATGGCAGCCACGCCTGGCTGCCCCCTCGCTCGCACGCGGGCCGGCCGAGGGCAGGGCAGGGCCAGGACGGGAGGGTGGGAGGGGGCGGCGTGCGCGTGGCGGCCGCGCCCGGGACCCGCGCGGACCCTGCCTGGGCCGCCCCGAAGGCGGGCGGCGCACACAATGGCCCCTCGGGGAGTGGACGTGCGAGGCTCACGCCTTCTCCGGGGCCTGGGGTCCCCGGGTAGGAAAGTTTCTCCGGGGGGCGAGAGTTAAAGCGCCTACAGAACAAAGCGGCGGCGGCGGCGGCACATGGGGCAGGCCGCGGGCCGGGAGGGGGCGCGCCCACGAGGTACCTGCGCGCCAGAGGGCGGCGTGGCGTGGGCGGGAGCCCGCGGTTGCCCAAACTTTGTACGCGCGAGGGTGGGCGGAGGGGCGCGGGAGCTCGGCGCGGCCTGGGCGCCACCCCCACTCCGCGTGGGCTTTGTTAGCCCGCGTGGGCAGCCTTGGGGCGGGGCCCGCAACTTCCCCACTGTGGCCCTGGGAGGAGGCCGGAGTCGGCCTCGGCGGCGGCGTGGAACCACCCGTACCCGGCCGCTCCCTGGGAGTGCGGCGCGGGAGGGCCGGCCCGGCTCGGCGGGAGCGGCGTCCCCGCCGCCATGTTCCTGCGGGGCGGGCTGCGCGGGGTTGAGGGCGGGGGACATGGCGGCGACTGCGCGCCTCCGCCGATTGTTCCCGGCTTAGGCCTCGGGCCGCGTGCGACGGGCACCGCGGCCGCGGAGCCCCCGCCCCTCTGGGCCGGGCTCGGGGGGGCTGGGGGACACAAAGGAGGGGCGGCGCGCCCGCGTCCCCGCCGCGCTCGGGCCTCGGCGCCGCCGGTCGCCGCGCGGCTGCCGCCGGGAAACGGATTGAGGGGGGGTTGCCGCGTCCGGCGGGGCCGACTCTGACCCGCCGCCCCCTGGTGGCTACGCGGAGAATCGCAGGGCCGCGCGCCCCCTTGTGCGACATGTGCTGCCGGCCCGGGCTCCATGAGCGTGGCGGGCACTTTGCAGTCTCCGGTGTTCCTGCGTGGTCTTCTGTTCCTAAACTGCAGCAAAGGGAAAAGGAACTGGAGAAGGCAGGCTCGGTGTTGTAGTATCACCAAAAGAGAAAATTAACGGCATGCCATCAGGGCCACAGCAGTTGGAGAAACAACTCTTTATCCCGGCTTGCAGCCACGAGGTCTTGATTGGGGGAGGGGTGGTGAAGAATAGTCCCTGGGCTGCTTTTTTTTCCCTTTTACTGGAGCTGTGCAGTGGAGTCAGTGATTGCTACTGATCATAATCAAGTATTTTGGGAGGTTATTTAAGGCATGTATCTGATAGCTAAGGATTTTTCAACTTTATTCTCTTCCACATTTTTAAACTATACATTATTGGTCTTTTAAATCGTGCTAGTATTGCCCGACTCTGTTACCCTCAGTTTTGCAAACGGATGGAATTAATTGCTATTAGGAGTTTGGAAAATGGCAAATCCAGATTTGGACGGTGGTAGTAATTTTGGGCAAATATGTTTATCTTTTTTTCCTTATTTCCCACTACTCCAGTCATCATACACGTGGACCTAACTGCACCGGTGGCTTTTCTGAGGATACTTGGCTGTAAAGGAAGTTTTCTGGAGTGGGTAAGTGTATTCTGATTTTCTTGAACTTTTCTTAAAAACAAATTTCTCTTGCTATTGTAGTAAAGTTGAGTATCATAGTATTGGATTCTTAAAGAGTAAAAGTAGGTATTTTTTACCTTAGACAATTTACCTTTTTTAGAAAACTAATTACGGATTTGCTAATTTTAAGTTAGTAAAATAACAGTGTAAATATCCCTGTACATCTTTGGAAAGTGGCTTATGCAGTTTACAAAATATAATTTTAGAACCTCTTTTAAGTTGGGTATAAAGTGAATATAACCTGGGTTGATAGATTTAAACAGGGTATTTAAGTTCTGCAGTTGACTGATACACTTGAAATGTAGTCTGAACAGTAATTTTGTTAATCATTTCATCAAGTATTTGCTAAGTGGAAGCCAGAAGAAGAGGAAAATGTTTTGCCACGTGGATGTGAAGATTTCCTCTAAAAGGTACATATGGACTAAATTTCCCTGTATATATGTTCTTTATTTGCAGTCTTTTTTTTTTTTTTTTTTTTTTTTTCGATATCAATTTGGGAAAGGCCAGGCATTGGAAGAGCCACCACTTCCAGTGCTAGTTCGATGGTTGGTTGACTGCCTTCTGTAAAGAACTTTTAAGGCGTAAATATGTATCTAAATGGACCTCATATCTTTGAGATAATTAAACTAATTTTCTCATCCCCATTGGGGATTATGCTGAATTTGTATGGTTTATAGTTGTTAGAGTTTGAGGTATTAATTCTAATTATCTATTTCAAATTTAGCAGGAATAAAGAGAACATCACCTTGTAAAACTGAAGATTGTGACCAGTCAGAATAATGTCAAAGTGCTTACAGTGCAGGTAGTGATATGTGCATCTACTGCAGTGAAGGCACTTGTAGCATTATGGTGACAGCTGCCTCGGGAAGCCAACATGGGCTTTAAAGTGCAGGGCCTGCTGATGTTGAGTGCTTTTTGTTCTAAGGTGCATCTAGTGCAGATAGTGAAGTAGATTAGCATCTACTGCCCTAAGTGCTCCTTCTGGCATAAGAAGTTATGTATTCATCCACTAATTGAAGCCAAGCAAGTATATAGGTGTTTTAATAGTTTTTGTTTGCAGTCCTCTGTTAGTTTTGCATAGTTGCACTACAAGAAGAATGTAGTTGTGCAAATCTATGCAAAACTGATGGTGGCCTGCTATTTCCTTCAAATGAATGATTTTTACTAATTTTGTGTACTTTTATTGTGTCGATGTAGAATCTGCCTGGTGTATCTCTGATGTGACAGCTTCTGTAGCACTAAAGTGCTTATAGTGCAGGTAGTGTTTAGTTATCTACTGCATTATGAGCACTTAAAGTACTGCTAGCTGTAGAACTCCAGCTTCGGCCTGTCGCCTAATCAAACTGTCCTGTTACTGAACACTGTTCTATGGTTAGTTTTGCAGGTTTGCATCCAGCTGTGTGATATTCTGCTGTGCAAATCCATGCAAAACTGACTGTGGTAGTGAAAAGTCTGTAGAAAAGTAAGGGAAAATCAAACCCCTTTCTACACAGGTTGGGATCGGTTGCAATGCTGTGTTTCTGTATGGTATTGCACTTGTCCCGGCCTGTTGAGTTTGGTGGGGATTGTGACCAGAAGATTTTGAAAATTAAATGTTGCTGAAGATTTCGACTTCCACTGTTAAATGTACAAGAGATAAACAGTATTAAAGAAAATTTGTAACTTTTTGTTTTAAATACATCTTGTATTCATCCAAAAACATTTCACTTCTGGTGTTGTCAGATTTGGCAGTATAAATTCTGGCTATATTTTTTGTTGTTAGATTTATTTGGCTGTTAAGTATTATGATATGACTATTTAATCATACGGTATACATAACGATCATTTGTAAAGTTAAAATATACCTTTTTGCTTTTTTTGGAGTTGATGTTATTCCAGGATATTTTACTTTCTAAAAGTTAATAAATTATGTTCCTCATATATTGCTCAAGTATTTAAATTTAGAGAGAATGCCATTGTGTTTAAAGCAATGTATAAAGATGGATTTTTTTTTTTTTTTAAAGCATGGAATTTAGGGTGGGGGGGTACAATTTGTTTCTATTAAACAAGTACTAGTTTACAAATACATGAGTAACTGATGTGTAACTGTTAACTGCCTGTATTCTAGTTTTTCTTTCTGATTGTCAGTGATTTATTAGCTGTAAATGACCAGGGCCCTCAGACTGCTCTTAGCATCCGCAACTTAAAAAAAAAATGTGAGTTAAAAGAAAAAACACGTGAATGCTAAATAGAGTAACAGATCTATGTATGTGTACACTCTACCCAAATGCCAAGGGTGTAGCGATGGAGTGAGATTCAGAGTCATTTATTTTTAAGTCTGTAGTTAACATTTATGTTCCCTACTCCTTGCATAAGCCAGACTTTGGCGACAGTGATGGTTGATTCCAGGCTTATTTGACTTAAGCCACTGAAGTGGAAACTAAGAAGCAGCAGTTACAGTGTTTTATCCACCATTTCTGCTTTCTCTCTTTTCATGTGTTTTGTCTCTAGCCTGTGTGTATATGAGTAGAAAAATGTGGGATACCTGAATAATAGATTTAAAAAGACAGGTGTTAAAATTGGACCCAAGCCGCAGTACGGGCAAACTTGATGTTTGGAAACTAAGTTTTGAGGAATGTCATTGTATTTTAAAGATGCTGTCTTAGTAATAAGAAATAAACTTCCATAACACTAGGTTAGACAACCCAATAAATCTAGAAATCAGCTTTTAAAAATACTGTGTGAAGTCTAACTAAGGTTTTCATCTCTAATGTGTTCTTTAAGAAGTTTAAGGAACTTAATTTTGGATTCCTGAATAGAAAGGTAAGAATTTAATATTTCTGGAGTTGATGAAAAGACAAATTTTCAGGATGTGAAGTGAACAGTGATTTATAAGATGGAAATCGAATTGTACGTTAGCAGAATTGGCAAAACTTTTCAAATTGAAGGAGACCTAAAAATTGTGTCTTTCTGGTTTAGTGACAAACATGGCTTTAAAACTATGTTTAAAAAGTCCTGGCCAGTGGCACGGTGGCTCACGCCTACAATCCTAGCACTTTGAGAGACCAAGTTGGGCGGGCTACCTGAGGTCAGGAGTTCGAGACCAGCCTGGCCAACATGGTTGAGACCCCATTTCTACTAAAAATACAAAAAAATTAGTTGGGTGCAGTGGTGCACGCCTGTAATACCAGCTGCTTGGGAGGCTGAGGCAGGAGAATTGCTTGAACCTGGGAGGCAGAGGTCACACCACTGCACTCCAGCCTGTGCAACAGTGAGACTTCATCTCGGAAAGAAAAAAAAGGTCCCATAATATTAAAATGGTCTTGTAATTTGCAAAATGATGTGCTGTGGTTATAAGTGAAAATATTTTGTTTTACATTTGTCAGACTATATAGTTTTATTTTAAAGCTTTTGGGGAAATACACTAGCATTTTAATGGGGCAGTGTGATAGGAAGCCTGCCAGATGATTCCTTAAATGCTCTAAAATGAAAGTCAAATACGTTTTAATAAGAAAGACTTAAATGGCTTTTTCTCCCTAGATATTGGAACTGTAGTATTCATTGTGTTCAGAACTTAATTGGGCTTGAACTGAGATTTAAATCTTTAATAAACAAGTTAATAAACGTGCATGTTTTGTTGTGTGATTGGTAGTGATCTGGTTGTATAGGGTTTAATAGGAATTGCTTTTGATTTGTTTCTGGCTTTAGAATGTGAAGCATGTTTACATTTTTGGTTCTATTTAAGATTTTCTTAGGCATGATAACATGCCAACAAATCCATGCAAGTATTGTAATAAATGTTCACATTAATTTAGCCATTTTGAAATTCAGATGAGTGAACAAGTTGGTAATGGCCTCATCTCTGACCTGAGGAAAAAAAAAAAACAGCTTTGACACCTTGTTCTTAAAATGCTTTAACCTTGAAGTTGCCTGATACATGAGAGGTCATGTTGCTTCAGGTTTAATAGATAGCCTTAACTATTTGGAGGGGAAAAAAGTGGGTCAATTTTTTTTCTTTTGGTGTTGGCATGTACACCTTTTTTTTACAGCCTATATTTGGAAAGAAAGTACTTAACATTTTATGAATTCTTTTTAAAGCTGCTTGCAAAGTATTGGAGATTTTACTGAAAACTTTTGAGATCTTCATTTTACAGGCAAATCTGTCTAACTACAAGCCAGACTTGGGTTTTCTCCTGTAGTTGGAAGACACACTGACTCCTGACAAAATGCAACCTGCAACTGCCTGGAAAACAACTCAGTGTCACGTTAAAGTTTATTATATATTAATGATATACTGTTGAATTGACAGTCCCGCATAGTTTGTCTAAATTTAGAGAATTAAGAGTCTCTCAACTGAGCAGTAAAGGTAAGGAGAGCTCAATATACACAGAGCCAGTTCTTGGTGTCTGATGGAAATAAGATCATCATAACCACTTAATACTTCAGATTATTCTTTAGCTTAGTGGTTTTGAGTTACATTCTTACTGAAGTCCAAATTAATGTAGTTGTTTGCCTTGATAAATTCCATATGTGGTATTCTTAGTTTTAAAGAATCATTAGGAAAATGCACATATTCCTTGAATTTTAAGACCATAGAAAAGTTGTTGAAGAATGCTTAGTTTTCTTTATCCAGTAATGTAAACACAGGGACACAGCATTGAGATGTGCCTAATTCTGTATTTACAGTTTGGTCTGGCTGTTTCCGTTCTAGTGCATTTAATGTTAATAAATACTGCATTTTAAAGCTGTTAAGAAATTGTCTAGCATGAGCTTATTGAAATAAAAACTTTAAGGTGGTTATAGCAGTTTTCCTGGTGTTTTGTTTTGTCACTGCAGATGGTCTAAAAGTTGTTAATTAATTGGGGAAATTGAGACAAGGACCAAAGTTGGTTGTCTGCATTATCTTATTTAACCTTCATTACCTATGAAATCTGTATTTACATATGAGATCAAAAGTTTATTTTCAAGCAGAGTAGAAAGATGGTGAATGGACTCTGAATTAAAATATGTCAATATTTTAAAAGGTTATCATCTGCCTACTATTATGGAATCTGACAAGTTCTCGGATCATACTTGAGTTTCCTTAAATATTAAGGCTGAAGCATTTTCATTTTGTTTATATTATGCACATGTTAAGGTGGGAGTGATTTGGTTTTTGTGTGGGGTTTTTTTGCCACATGATAGGATGAAAGTTTAACAGGAGGCCAAGGTATATAAAAAGTCTTAAACACCTTCTAATAAATGTCAAATATTTGTTGGCTCCAGGGTTGAATGTTTACTAATGGATCTGTACTAAGTCTGTTAAATGAGAATGGTATATTCTGAGCACCCCTCAAAGTTCAGCCATTACTAAGAGTTAAAAAAAAACACAACTATTTTTTAAATGAGCTACTATGTTGTACCTGCTTATGGCACACAAGACTTCTAGGCTCATGCAGAGTTTTAGCATAGTTGATCCTCAGTATTAGTGAGGGAATGGGTAGAAGAACTCTCAGTGTATACCAAATTCTTTGGATGCTCAAGTCCCTTATAAAGTGGTGCAGTATTGGCATGTAAATCTATATATGTCCTCATGTATGCTTTAATCATACATTTCTTGTATA